TTCTTCGTATTCTCCTTTATTCATTTAGTTGTTATTCTTTTTATTCTTTCTTTGTATAGCATTTATTGTTAATCATTTATATTTGTTATTTGTATAATCTTTATTATTATTATTATTGTATTTACATTGTTTTTATTTGTTTTAATTTGTGTCTTTCGTCTTCTAAACCCTTTTTCCTTGGTGTATCGTTTACCTTTATTATTATAATTGTTATGCCATTTATTGTTATTGACATTCATTCTTTTTTATTGTATATTGTTAAATTTCTATGACTTGTTTGCTTTTCTTTACAAGACCCTAAGGTTTTACACAATAGCCATGGCATTTAGCATTAAAAATTTGATGTATTTCCTGCATTGGAAAAGGAGAGAATGTTTAATAATTAATAATAAAATAAGTAAATAAAGAAGAAAAATTGAATGACGGTTATCTTAAAAATAAATTAAGTTCAAACTAAAAATAAAAGAAGAACTAATATAATGAAATAATCAAAAATAATAAAGAAAGAATGCAATTAGGATATAATGAAATAATGATTGTCTCAAAGTATTTTGAAGATATTAATGATTTTATTAATTTAGAAATTGGAATTAAAAGATTTCAAGGAAATATGGAACGATTTCATTTTAATCCAATTCCATTGAATCAACATTCAAGAAGATTGTTTCCTAATATTGAAACATTTCATATTTATAATAAAAAAGATGAAGTGTTTAAAGATGGAAGAATAATTAAACAAATAATATGGTATAAAGTGAATTATTCAAGATATTTAGAAGAGAAAGAAGAAGGAAATATTTGTAAAAATATCGAATATACAAAAGAAGATAGAATTAAATATGGAAATACAATACCAATAGAAGTTAATTCACTTGGAAATGAATGTTTTAGTTTTTATTCAATATTAACACCAATTAATATACCAAACATTATTAAAATGCGACATAGTTTTGATAGATGTTCAACATTAACAACAGTTAATATTCCAACAAGTGTAACTCAAATAGGAGATAGATGTTTTTCTAAATGTACATCATTACAATCAATTAATATTCCAACAAGTGTAATTGAAATAGGAAATAAATGTTTTTTTGAATGTTATTCATTAACATCAATTGCTATACCAACAAATGTTAGTAAAATAGGAGATAGATGTTTTTATGGATGTAAATCATTAACGTCAATTGAAATACCAACAAGTGTAACTGAAATAGGAAATTTGTGTTTTAAAGAATGTACATCATTAACATCAATTAATATACCATCATCAATTACATCATTTGGAATTGGATGTTTTTATCATTGTGGATGTGAAGAAGAATTAAAGAAGAATAAAACAATACCAGAATATTGCTTTTGAAGAATATTAAAGAAGAAACAAAGAAAGAAGATAATTGAATTATGAAAGAATAAAAAGAAATTTCATTTTATAATTTAAATGATAAGAAATACATCATAAACAAATTAAATGATAATAAAATAAAGAATGAAATATCAAAAGAATGAAATGTGATAAAAATTATTCATCATTTATTTAATTATTAATATGTTATGTTTATTCATTTTTATTTTATTTCATTTTATTTGATTGTTTCAATATGTTGAATTAATAGAAATATAACATCAATCATATTCATTGATAAATATTAATGATGAATGATAATATATTTCAAATATCAATCATATTTATCATTTCATGTATTTTGTATTTATTTTTGATTATATTTCAATGATAATGTTGATGTGAATTGTATTTATTGAACAACAAAGATGTTGATTGTCATAAGTCATAATATGATGAATGTGTTGTTCAATGAATATGAATAATTTATATTAAATTATTTCATTTTATACAATTGTGTTTCATTTATTTTTGATTGAAACGTATATTCAATGAAAATAATATTTATCACTTTCTATATCTTGTTTATTTTCAACTTATTCATATGATTTGAAGAATAAAATGAATGTGCTATTATTATGTTTAATGTTTCTTATTATTTTTTACAAATATATACACAACATCAAATTATTCATAATTCATTCTATTTGTTTGTCAAATTAATCTATATTATCATGACTGTTATATTTGATAGTGAAGAGTATTTGTAATGATAGAATTTACATTATTAATTACATTGAAATTCTCGTTGTTATTGAATGATTTTTTGATATTATGTGGATCAAGAAATGAAAGAGAATAATTGAAATGGTAAATTACATTACAAAGATGTGGTATTGATTGATTTAATTAATTTTCAAACAAGAAGTGATGAATAAGAAAATAAAAATATGCAATGTGTTTTTTCACAATGAGTGATGAGTGAATAATGATAAACGGATATTTTGTTAAATGTCTAGTATCATATTTGATTTGATTTATAATTAAAAGTAAACATAATGAGTTGAAATAGTGATATGAATAAAGTGAATAATAATGATATTTTCATATGATTAAATGAATAAAGTTGATTATTCTTTATAAATATAATTAACATTGTTTGTATTTAAATCAATATTCTAAACATGTAGAAATGAAACAAATATTTAATAATTAAATAAATGATAATAATAAACATTCTTATGAATTTAATTTGTTCATTATGATTTGTTTAACATTTTAACAAAATCAAATAACAAACAATGTAATATGAATATTTTGTTAAATGTGTATTTAATTGATATGAATATTATTTTATTTAACACATATTCATTATGTATTTATTCGTATTATGTGTTTCTTGTTAATTATATGTGTTTCTTATTATCTTTTTGATTTTTAGATTCTTTCTTTTGTTTTAATCCAATTCAATCAATTTATTTAATAAATATTC